TAACCCTCGGCGCGCATGCGCAGCGAGGGTTACAGTAGTTACCCTCGGCGCGCATGCGCAGCGAGGGTACTGTAGTTGGGTGTGTGTGTGTGTGTCTGTTACTCTCAATCTCACTTCTCGAATGTCTGTTCGTCCCAGAAACGCTACCATCTACCCAACGGGCGACGAAGGTCAGAAAATATGTGGGGTTTTCTCTGAAAATGCTCCGTTGCAGAGCTAGAGCGCTTCCACCATTGTACGGCTAATGCGTAGTCGGCCATTTTTATCGCTGCGGAAAATGCGCATGCGCTTATAACCTCGACCGGGTCGTCCGCTTGCTCTGTGTATCTTGAAGGCACAAGAAGTCACAACGAAGGGCGTGTATCGACTCTCGCATACTATCTACTACTGTAGCTAGCCCGTGTCAGACTCTCTGCGAGCTACTAGCGGGAGATCACGAGTAAACGCATACTAATAGCAGCCCAGCCCATCAATTAGCGGTACCGCGCATCCCCAGTTCGCCGAGGGTTTGCACTTTAGTGCTTTTCATTGGGTCTGTCTGTCTGTCTGTGTGTCTGTCTATTACTCGTCCATCTCACTTCTCGAGTGTTCGTTCGTCTCACAAAGGATACCACCTACTGAACGGGCAATGAAGGTCAGAAAATATGTGTGGTTTTCGCTGAAAACGCTCCGTTGCAAAGCTAGAGCGCGAAAAAGCCAATATGCAAATACACAACGGCTTACTACGGCATGATCGATCCGCGTGCTCTGCGTACCTCAGAGGCACCAGAAGATGCAACGCAGGGCGTGTATCGCCTCTCGCATGCTATCTAGTAGTGTAGTTAGCCCGCGTCAGACTCTGCGCGAGCTGGCAAGAGACCACGGGTAACAGCTAAAACTAAACCCAGCCCACCAATAATAGTTGTACCGCGCATGCGTTTACTTACGCGTGCGCGTCACAGTACGCCGAGGGTTTGCACTTCAGTGCTTTTCATTGTGAATGTGTTTGTATGGGGCAGTTATTCAGAGGCTCCGTTTTTTAGGGTTTTAGTACCACAAAGTAGTTTGAGAGAAAGATAACTTTCCTAATGTGTCTACAAACAGAGGTCAAGCTGCCACCGCTTCTCTGTTACCTCAGTTCAACTCTAGCTACTTGATTTTACCGCGTGTGCACACACACTATCATTCTATATAATGTTTGCACAACAACATATTCACATATAATTATAATTATATTATATATATTATATATATAATATGGAGTCTTATGTACATAGCGTATACATAAGAATGAGAGATAGAGGTGGAACGGAAGTGAGATCACTAATGTTGGTATAGTATAGATTGAGGAAAAGGGGGGGGGATTTTACGGTGAAGGTTCAACTCAAGATCTCTCTAAAAATGAAATCAGTGGCTGCTAGACATTCCAACTGTCTTATGTGATAATCAGACTCAGGGACTACTGTGCACATAGATTGAGTTGTGTTAATTTGCTCTTGGTGTACAATACATAATAATTATACAGGGATCTCTCGGCACTACTCCTTGTCCCGCCCTTCCTTCCTACTGATGTTTCCGCCCTCCCTCATTCCCCCTCTCTCTTTTCTCTGTATAGTCTCCCCAAGAATCAGTGGGTTGACTCAAGAATCATTATCAATATAATTATTATCGTGTCACTTTTAATAATGTGTACTGTGTCAACAACGAGGTATCGAGGGAGAAAGGCAAGGCAAAGCAAACAAGTCAATTAGCTACACCCAGGACAGCTCTTTCTTAGGAAAAAAGAAGAAGTGCCGTAGGTAGGATTCAAACTCGTTTCTACCAGGGCAACTCAGCTGGTAGGGGGTCGAATCTACAACACAACACAACACAAGGCAAACCTCAAACCACTGTGCTATGGCACAGTATACTCTCATTTAGTATGTGGGAGCAGAAATTAAGACGCCCAACTCCAAATATGCATGTCAACAACAATAAGTATTGCATCCGCCAGCTCCTGCGCATGCAGCCCCGCCTACTATAGTGCGCGCGCGCAGTAAAAACCGCCCACAATTCACTTGTGTTTCTGCCTGGTGGTTTCGCCTATTTTCCAATGATCTTCCTAAAGATTGCGGCTGCTCTCGGTGTCCTGAGCCTGGCCAGGACCCAGGTCCCCTCATGCTCTAACTTCGTCTCCACGAAAGAATCCATCTGCTTCGAGATTTTCAGGCGATTGGAGAAACAGATTGTCGACTCGGACGCTAACCTCTATTCTCTCCGCAAACTGTTTTATCCGACGTCACAGATGCAGCCCGCTCTGGTGAACGTCAGCTACGACCTCAAAGTCTCGTCGGTGCGCCACCGTTCGTGTTCCGGCGACCCCGAATCGTCTACCAACCCTCGGTACGATCACTTGCCTGAAGCAGTTCGCAACTTTCTGAAGGTCCACGCATGGAGCTCCAAAATCTTCTACACCCTGTTTCATCCGGCGACCGTCAACAGACTCCAGCCGCAGTTGCTTCAAGAGATACTGGCCGGATTCAACAGTATCGACACCACTAACTCGGTCCCGACTGCTCTAACCTGGCCTACAGTGGGACCCATACTTACTGTGGAGGTGGCAATAGACCTGCAGCTACCGTGCTGGCCTACATTCTGCGCACTCGAAGAAAGTTTAAATGATCTCACGTCTGTTGTAAGTCTAACTAGCACGACCAAGTAGCTATATTGTGTGTGAGGTCAGTGCAGTGGGTTTCACCGCAATATCGTTTGCTCCTATAAAATCATAATGCCTTAAAAATGGTAATTTAATGTACGAGTATAAAGACATCCAGTATGCTGTTGGTATAGCTACCAAGAGTAGAGAGAGGATTTCTGTTCACCCTCCCAAGTTATGAATTCAGAATTCACCAATGAAAATTTCGCACTCACAGCTCAAGGTGTATGCAGACTCACAAGAGAATGTATCGTCTTGGGGAGCAGAGGAGAGGGGATACGCTTTACTAGGGAACGTGTTCATAGACCAGTGGTGGAAATACATTGCTACTACATATCCATCCAGCAGCTTTCTACCACTGGTGAACTTGATCCTGTCGGTTGTCCTTACTCTCATGATCAGCTTTGGAGTCTACTATGCCCTGTGGAACGTTGCTCCGGCAAACAGCGAGGAAAAAAACTTTTTGTTTAGTTACAGCATCGTCTGGAGTGGTGTGGCCATCCTTACTCAAGTCAACTTTTTCTTTCTACTCTTTGAAATAGAAAGCATAGATATCTGGTGTCGGTATGAAGGTAGTTGTGCTGAGTCAGCTGCAGGAAACAAAATTGGATGGATCCTGTGGATGTGCACTTACATGGTGGTTGCCTTTGTTGTTATCCTAGTGCGGTTTCTCCAGGGAAAGACTCGACACCGTGAGATATTCATTCCCGAATGGCGTGCTTTTGTAATCTCGATACCGTTTTTCAGCACCTTCATTCTTCTTCTTGCCTTTTTCTACAAGTTTTTCTTGTGTCCTCTGCTAAAGGTCCGCAAAAATCGAAATGTATGGATCCATCTCCTTGAGACTCTTCGCTGGCTGATTCCCTGCCCAGGAGTCTTGAAGAGGGTTATCTGGAATTGCATTCGTTTTTTAGCCATCTACATCCTTTACATGACAGTATTTTTGTCAGCATCCATCCTGTCGTTTAGTGCAGTTCCCGTTCTTCTTCAAACCTTTATCTACCCGTTTAGGATGTTTGCTGCATACAGTTTCATTTTTGTAGCCTTTGCTCTCTACTGTCTGGCTACGTTCATGGCCGTTTTCCTGTGGAAAGAGAAGCCACCCACAACAGGAAGACTCATCCTCTATCTCTCTTCAACCACCGTAACACTGGTGTTTATTCTGATTATCTCTATTCCTTTCGTTTCGCTCTATCAGCTACTGATCTCAGGTGGTTTCAGTGATAATCCTCTCGTTCTGTTTGGAGTCTCAGTTCTGCCATCTCTCCTCCTTTCCTCTCCACTCGTGTGGCTATTCAAGTCAAAACTACTACCAAGATTTCTGGAGGTTGACGATGACGAAGATGAAGAAGATGAAGATGATGAGGAGAAGAAAGTAAAGAAGAGGAAGAGGAGAAAGCCAAGGAAGCTGCTGCAGAAGCTACTGATGACGCCAAACTGGAGATGGACACTCTCTAACTATACTTTGCTATAGGTACAATTTACAGCTATTAGGTATATACAGTGTACAGTTAGGTGTGTATATATAGTAGATCTAGAACACATTTTTCGGGTATTTTGAAAGCGATAGAGCAGACTACAGTTTTTTGTAGTAGATTTAGGGTCTGATAATCAATTGCTATATCGGGAAGTTGCGGTCCATCCGGAATTCTTGGCGTGCCCTGCGCTGCCCTAACAACTGAACCTGACGCAGTTGCGCAGCGTGCGTTATCCTCACGCGCATGCGCAATCCTAGCTGTTGCGGCACGCAAATTCACTGCTGTCTCTCGGCAAAGAACCTGGTTGATTCCATTCAAGTTCACATAACATAGTGATACGTTTATAAAGTGGAATGAATTATGCACTGGTCTCTTGGGTATACATAGCCGCCATTCAAACTATCCTAGGTATGTGTGTAGGTGGAATCTTGATATACCACACAAAGAGGCGAGAATGCTATAATATATACTGCATTAGTCTTTATGCTTTAGGTTTTGCTCTATGTGGTTGGCCAATTCTTGCTTTCCAATGTCCCTGAGTGTTGCAATAAAGGTAGACCACTCAACCGGCTGTCTTCCATTACCTTGCTGCCACCGCGCAAAGATATCATGAACAATTTCAGCTGCATTTCCATTGTGGTTGTTTTCTATAGCTTTGTAACTGACCCATCTTCATCATTCAAAAGAGAGCGTCCAAACTGAAGATAGCTGTCGACAATTTCCTGGTCAATTCTCCTGTTCCCAAATGCCGTCTTGAGAGTCATTAAAATGTTTTCTGGAAAAAATATAAGATATAATTATATAGTGCAATAAAAAAGGACAATCCTTTTACCTCCAGGTCTCTGAACCATGTCAGGGGTCAGGTAAATGCTGGGGATTGAGTAGGCTGTAGTTATGTGAACATTAATCTCCAGGAGTTTAAAGGGCTGTCTCAGAAGTTGGGAATGGAGAAGAAATCTTGGTACATAATCCATCCCTGTTTTGAACTTCACTTGCGTCAATTGCTTCTGAGATTCTAACTTTTGTGAAGCTTTCATTCTCATGCTTTGCAAGCATCTCCCAAGACAGGATAAACGTAGCTTTAGTAGGAATAGGAGGACAGTTATTTGGTATTATCACCTTGAATTGAAGGGTCATGCTTTTTTCAGCATCATCAAAAAGACCATGAGGATAGAGGCAGAGGAATACGTGAGGGTTATCCTCTCCACATTTAATATCGACGGTAATATTTTGAGGGCAATTGATTCGCTGTAGGTATCTCTTATGACATATTGTGGACAACAAATCTCTGCTCTCAATGTTCCACAGATATTTGGTAATACGCTTCTGTCGATCAGTAAATTCTTGATAGCTACCTCCATCCTTCTTTCCTTTCCAAGTAATTTTTGGTTTCCAGTTATAAAAACCTAACAAAAAGTCAACCATGAAATATAACTAGTTTAATTTGATGTATTATACTTACCACGCCTTTTGAGGCTATGATCGTGGGATGAAAGTTGCATAGCTTGTGATGGGTGCTGCTCAATTGGTATCATTACCAGCCCACTGGGCCTATCGCTGGCCTTTTGGCTCACCAACTCCAGTTGAAGAGATGCCTGGCTGGGGTGCTCAGACACCACAGAGTGGATAGAATACGTTCCAGAGCGGCGTATAGTTCCCGAACGACCTAAAGAACTGCCGCTGGATCCGAATCTAACTCCTAGGGGTAAAGACGGGGAGGGTGGTATAAAAACGGTAACGGAACCGCTGCGCATGTGCTGCGTATTTTGCTTATGAAGTAGTAGTGGCCAACTTAGCTGGCCGACATTGCTCCTGTCAAACCGTGAGCGGTCTAGTTGTGAGAGATTGTCTTCTTTGGGATCCGGCTTAGTGTCCTCTGCAGCAGTAGCTCCTGCTGAATGCTGGGTCACGTCGGGATAGGTTGTTTGGTAGGTACCTCTCACTTCTTGCGCAAGATCGTGGCGGTTTATTTCCTGCAGCAATTTTACTAAAGGCTCCGTGTTGTAAGGAGAAAATTCTCCTCGCTCTTCCAGTTCTGTCAACATGTCAAGACTACTCCTGGCCTTTTCAGCCGTCAGTTGGCGAATGTACTTGATTTGACCATCGTTTCGCTCTGTGAGACTTTCTGATAAGCGGCAAATGAGCTTGCGAAATTCACTTGCTCTATTCTGCCAGCTCAAACGGCGTGTAGCCATTGTGACCGATAGCGGTAGGTTGACGAGACAGTCGATTAGTGAGAAAGCTATACGTTCCCAGCATTCCTTTGGCACTAATAGGCCCTACAGTCAGAGCCTTTCCTGAGTCTGACCGCTTACGGTGGCTACTCTGGCCGGCTCCGAGCATGCACACACGAGAACGTATATAGAGAACTTTGCTTGGTGTATATATGCATCCCTGAATTGCGCGGCGATCATCTGAGTTATTATACATTACATAAGGACTATGCACTATGAACTATGATCTGTCATCTGATTTGGAGACGGAATTCGAATATGCTGTGCTGACACACAGACATATCTCAAGGGATTTGAACACATTCTTCGGAAGCACGGAGTGTGGAAGAAATTTGTGAATGTATTTCATTCCAGTCAGAAATCTCACTATGGTTGGCTTTTTTGAGTGCCTGATCTTTACACAACTTTGCCCATCATTTGCAAATATTTCCCACGACAAGTCGAATGTTGCTTTGTCAGGAATCGGAGGACAACCATCAGGTATAACGATCTTGACTTGCAGGGTCATACTCTTTCCTGCATCATCAAAGATGCCGTGAGAGTGGACGTCAAAGGAGAGGTAGGGATTATTCTGTCCACAACCAATATCAATGGATACCTTTTTGGGGCAATTGATGCGTTCAAAGAATACTTTGTGAACTCTCTATAATCAATGATCCAGTTGTACTGGAAAATCGCCTTTTGACTCTCTGTCGTTAAATCATCTCTCCTTCCCTTCCATCCGAGTTTTCGTTTCCAGCCTGTTATGGAAAAAAACAATGTCAATGTTAGCTATCTAAGTATAAAAAGTGGTATAATATTATACCTAATAGCTAGTAGCTACCATGCACAGGGAGAATATTAAAAGCTACTTACCTCGTCTCTCGTGGCTATCCTCCGCGAATAGTTTAGAAGAGCCAGCAAGTTGCTCAACGAATGGGACCATTTCTGTACTACTGACTTCTTCACAGGCCATCACCAGGCCTTCATCATTTCCGTCGTTCGGATTGTCACACCAAACTTAGTTTCTTCATCGACAGCATATTGTGGGGATAGAGGATTCAATGTCAGCCGCAGCTCTCCGGATGTATCTGAGCTCAGCATTGGCTCTGAAAGGGCAGGTGACGGTGGCACATGGACAAAGATATTTACTTCCGAGCGCGAGGACGCGCCCGAAAGCCTCCCTGGTGATTTTTCACCGGGACGACCCGATAGGGTGACGGCGACGCTCCCGTGTGTCATCGTTTGCACACGCCTCAGGGTGAGCCTCCTGTGTGATGGAGTAGGTTCCCTGGGAAGAGATAGAGACGAGGCTCTGCTAACAGGTTTTGACCTCACTAATAGCGCCTCTTCTCCGATTGTATCGCTGGAGACGGAGTGGCGGTACGCACTGTCATGGTACGCTCGCACGTTGTCTGCTAGGTCTTTACGGTTGATATCGCAAAGTAATTCAGCCAGAGGATTCGTGTTGCTTGGTGAGAACACGCCTTGCTTTTCCAACACTGCCAAAACGTCGAGACCGGTCTTCACATTTTCGCTCGTTATCTCCCTAAAAAACTTGATTTTATTTACGTCATTGTCATCGAGTTTTTCCGAGATGTCACAAAGAAGTTTTCTAAACTCTCTTCTCCACCCCGAATAGCCAGAGGTTGTGGCTGTCGAGTAGCTTAGAGCTTCTGCCATTTTTCTGCTACATGGTGCTCTTGGGCATTGGGGATATAATTCTCCAGTGGAAAGGCTGTATTGACAGAAAAATGCAAACAATTCTAAGCATGATAGCTAAGCAAACAATTCTAAGCATGACAAAGCAAGATGATCCATATTTGAGTACACCGCAGGTTAGGAATATTATAGCTACATTTGTGCACTGACATACCTAATAATACTCAGGTGTTGTGGGGAACATAATACCCTTGAACAATACTCATTTTTCAGAGTCAAGACAGACTCTGGGAATTGGCGGCGTCATTCAGACTTCGTGCGCATGCGTGCGCCGAGGGTTACGTAATAACCCCCGCGCGCTCAGTCTGTTTACGTCGTTGGTGAGAGACTAGACGCCTGTACACCACTGCAAGGCCCCCCGGGTTTTTCTCCAACGCTGCTCCGTGAGAGGAAGATACACCAGAGATGGCTGCTTGTAATCGACTAGTCGGCTCATGGAATGGAAAGAGAGGTAAACGGTAATGTTCTATTTAGCGCCCATCATCAACACCATGAACATTTACTGTTCTAGTCGCCTATTTCTCTGCCAATGTATATGTGTCCCTGTATATCAGATAGTTAATGGAAAAAGAACATTATTCTCTCTATAAAGGTCTCTTGACACTGTTGAACCGTTCACTATTTACAGCCACCACGCTTCAGTCTACTGAGGTATGTACATACTACCACTGTTCATGTACATTCTAGACTGACACTATATGCATAAGTAGACGTTAGAGTTTGTGATCAGTCCCTATTGGCTAGTAGACATTCGATTAATCTGAGGGAACTTTGAACAAAGTTTTTCTTCCCATTTCTTTATCCTAATGAACGTCTTTATGTTAATTAAGTATGTATATAGCATAAAATTATAAGTTGTCTCTTGGTTGTAGCGGACATATGGTAACCTGAAGGACGAGGACAGGATCTTCACCAACCTCTATGGCAGACACGACTGGAAAGCTAAAGGGAGCTATGGCCAGAGTGAGTGAACCACCTATACACCTGGGTTTATTCTCTCTCTATCAGACTCACTTTGTGATTAATATGCACATGATCCCTATCTCTCCCTCTCTCCATTTGTTTCTCATTTTGCTTTCCTTCCTTGTTGTATATATCAGTTTCTTCTTTTTACACCTCATTTGGCTCACCTTTCTTTCCTCCTATTGTCCCTTTTCTTCTCTCCCTCCCTCCCTCCCTCCCTCCCTCCCACCCTCTCAGGGTGATTGGTTTAAGACCAAGGAGATAATCCTCAAGGGTCCAGACTGGATTCTGGAGGAGGTGAAGAAGTCGGGGCTAAGAGGAAGAGGAGGAGCTGGGTTTCCATCTGGAATGAAGTGGGGATTCATGAACAAGCCTTCTGACGGACGGTGAGAAACAATAGAGTCTACAAAAAGACTCTGAAGCCTCTGGTAGGTACAGCGAGAAAGTGTTGCTATTCCACCCTCCAACTATAGTCAAAGTATTAGGGATGGTTGGTTTGTTGTTTTGTTTACTCACGTCCCTGCAAGAAATGCACTCCAACTATAGTCAAAGGGTGATAGGGATGGTCGGTTTGTGTTGTGTTTGTTTACTGACGTCCCGTTGCAAGAAATGCACTCCAACTATAGTCAAAGTATCAGGGATGGTTGGTTTGTTGTTTTGTTTACTCACGTCCCTACAAAAAATGCACTCCAACTATAGTCAAAGTATTAGGGATGGTTGGTTTGTTGCTTACATGTCCCTACAAATGCAAAACTGTTCAAACCCTTGTTGTAATGAAGGAAAAGCCTCATGTGTATAGGTACATACAGTGAGGAAGTGTTGCTATTCCACCCTCCAACTGTAGTCAAAGTATTAGGGATGGTTGGTTTGTTGTCCATTTGTTGTTTTGTTTACTCACGTCCCTGCAAGAAATGCACTCCAACTATAGTCAAAGTATCAGGGATGGTTGGTTTGTTGTTTTGTTTTACTGACGTCCCTGCAAGAAATGCACTCCAACTATAGTCAAAGTATCAGGGATGGTTGGTTTGTTGTTTTGTTTACTCACGTCCCTGCAAGAAATGCACTCCAACTATAGTCAAAGTATCAGGGATGGTTGGTTTGTTGTTTTGTTTACTGACGTCCCTGCAAGAAATGCACTCCAACTATAGTCAAAGTATTAGGGATGGTTGGTTTGTTGCTTACATGTCCCTACAAATGCAAAACTGTTCAAACCCTTGTTGGGAGGGGTGGTAATGAAGGAAAAGCCGAAATAAATAGGTGTATAGGTCACAGTGAGATAGTGTTGCTATTCCACCCTCCAACTATAGTCAAAGTATTAGGGATGGTTGGTTTGTCATTTGTCCACTCGCGGGGGGTTAGAAGAGTGGGGAATTAGAGGATGAGGAGTACCATTAGAGGAACATAGGTGCCCAGTTAGTCAAGTCAGAACCTACAGCTACATAATCGCCCTTCCATCTTTTCTGTAGAGTACATATGTACTACATCTTTCCTTATCTCCTCTCCCTCCCACTCTCCTTTTATATACGTACCTTCCCTCCCTCTCCCCTCCTCCCTCAAGTCCCAAGTATCTGGTGGTGAATGCAGACGAGGGAGAGCCGGGGACGTGTAAGGACCGCGAGATCATGAGACACGATCCTCACAAGTTGGTGGAGGGATGTCTGGTCGCTGGCAGAGCCATGGGAGCCAGAACTGGTCTGTGCATATCACATACAGTATGTGTGTACACAATCTCTTAGTTACCCAAACACTTATTTGCAAGCTGTGCTTAGTGCATAAAGTTAAACAGAAATATACATACAGAAAGATCTCAAATATGGTTGTTAGAATTTTAATCTTCATGGTCTGTAACTGAAAACTGTTTGTGTTTGGGGGATGAGGTGGAAAAACCCTGTTAAAGTTTCTCGGCGAAATTCGTATTCCCTTAATGCACAGTGATCTGCCCATTTCCATGGCTGCATGTGCAGTCCTCCATTTTCTCTCCATAGATGATACATATACATACGTACGTAATGTGGAAATGAATGCTTTTTTTTGTGAAACTCGTATTCGTTGCCAATTTGTACCCTCAATAATTCCCCACTATACTCTCCCAATTGCGATTGCTGCATGCTGCCTCCAAGTCACCCTCCTCCCTCTCCCCTCTCTCCCCCCTTCCTCCTCCCTCTCCCCTTCCCCCTCTCTCTCCCCTCTTCCCAGCCTACATCTACATCCGTGGAGAGTTCTACAACGAGGCCAGTAACATGCAGGCGGCCATCCAGGAGGCGTACGAGGCGGGGCTCATCGGGAAGAATGCCTGCAGATCGGGATACGACTTTGACATCATCATGCACAGAGGAGCTGGGGCCTACATCTGTGGGGAAGAAATGGTACATACATATATTATGTATGCATCTTTTGTCAATTACTATGCATATTATTATTTTGTGGGGCCTACATCTGTTGTGAGGAAATGGTACATAATTATGAGTCTCTTGTCAATTTATTGCTACATGCTTCCTAGGGTTTTTGTCAACAGTTGAGTACAGGTGAAGAAAGATTGCCATTTTGTCACTAGAACGGGAATAGACGGAATTAATGTGTGACAGATAGCACACACTGCACATGTTCATAACACTGTCCATAACTTTTTCTTTACTGCCACATCTTGTGACTAACGATGTTCTATAACCATGCACAGCTCAGCATTACGCACTTCTTTTTATCCGGTGCATGATTCTAGCTGGCAAGAGAACTGTTGTCCATTCGACGGCATTCTTTGGTGCCTGACTGAGGCTGTACCTCATTACAATCCTCCACCCTTTCATGCGCTATTGCTCAGGCCTGTATAGACTATGGCGACAGTTAATGAGCGAAAGACATCCCCAAACATTGTATGTATCATATTAAAATGTAAGTTGCCTATTACTTTTCATTTAGTGCATTTATTTCTACTGCCACAGGAGTAATAATTATTGTGTATAATGTTGCCTCTTGTGTAACCACAACTGGTGTTGGTACCTCACTCACTGTCACAGGCCCTCATAGAGAGTCTGGAGGGGAAGCAGGGGAAGCCACGTCTGAAACCGCCATTCCCGGCCGACATCGGTGTCTTTGGCTGCCCCACCACCGTTGCCAACGTCGAAACGGTCGCTGTTGCCCCGGTGAGGAAAACCCTGTTATTATTCGTATTTCTTTGTTGTGAAGTACAAGGCGCTACCACCACTTAAAACCGCAAAAACCTTTAACTTGGAAAAAATGTGTTGCTATGTAATGTACCCTTAGTCCTGTCGGACAATTGTCTGGTTGCTCCAGCCTTAGTGTGTCCTATTTACACATGTCTCAAATACTTGGTAGCGAGGTAGAAAGGCAAGGCAAGGCAAACAAGTCAACTACACCCAGGACATCTCTTTCTTTTCAAAGAAAAGAAGAAGAGCTGCCCTGGGTGGGATTCGAACCCACGACACTCTACAGTCTAGGCGAGCACTCTACCAACTGAGCTACCAGGGCAACTCAGCTGGTAGGGGTTCGAATCTACAACACAACACAACATGCTTACATCTTATAACGGAGTAAATGTTCTCAAATTTGCTATCTCCCTGTCTCCAGGCTATCTGTCGTCGTGGAGGGGAGTGGTTTGCGTCGTTTGGTCGTGAGAGGAACCACGGGACGAAGCTCTACTGCATCAGTGGCCACGTCAACTCACCATGCACCGTGGAGGAGGAGATGTCCATCCCTCTCAGAGAACTCGTTGAGAGACATGCCGGTGGGGTCAAAGGTCAGTCAGGGTGGGTGTGGTCACTTTATCCTTGTTAATCAGCATTAGCTTTGTCCATTATCTCTGCACTCCTGCTGACAATTTCTCCCTCACTCACCTCCCAAAGGAATTTTCTTCAACACGATTGAGCATGATGTCCCGTGGGACTTGA